TTTTATGTAGACACATCTCTAACATATGTAGGACCTGGGGCAAGAGTACAAATAGAGGTTCTCAAACCTTGTGAATAAATATTTAAAATGGGCTGGGTGTGGTGGCTTATGCCTTGTAATCCTAGCACCTTGGGAGGCAGAGGCTAGAGGATCACTTGAGCCCAGGAGTTTAAAACCAGCCTGAACAACGTAGTAAGACTTCTCTACAAAAAATAAAAAATTAGCCAGGCATGGTGGTATGTACCTATAGTCCCAACTGCAGCTATGATTGCACCACTGTACTCCAGCCTGGGTGACAGAGCGAGACACTATTTCAAAAAAAACAAAGTTAAAATGTATAACTCAGGGTCAGGTGCAGTGGCTCATGCCTGTAATCCCAACACTTTGAGAGGCTGAGGTGCGTGGATCACTTGAGGTCAGGAGTTCGAGACCAGACTGGCCAACATGAAACACTGTCTTTACTAAAAATAGAAAAATTAGCCCGGCATGGTGGTGCATGTCTGTAGTCCCAGCTACTCAGCAGGCTGAGCCAGGAGAATCACTTGAACCCAGGAGGAAGAGGTTGCAGTGAGCTGAGATCACACCACTGCACTCCAGCCAGGGTGACACAGCTATCTCAAAAAAAAAAAAAAAAAAAAAAAAAGTATAATTCAGGCTAACAAACTGTTACACAAAATATATTCTGTTCTTCTACCTTGACAAATATATACTTCACCATGGCCTGGAAGGCCAGGTTCAAATTTGTATTTTATTTGGAATCCTCAGGGTTCTGCACCAGAATATGGTGGTATAGGGGAGGTGGTTTTGGCCACTGGCCCTCAGGTGGGCCCACTTCGCCTCCCACCCCTGACACATCTTTGCTGCAAGCAGCCTTGTGTGGAACCATGTGGACCTTTCATCAGGCCATCCCAAGTCTGTCCACAGACTCCTGCAAGCAGCTACCCTTTGTCTACCCTTTGATCCTTAGAATATGTGAACCAGTCATGTGGTCCAGTCATGGGAGGGCAAACTCAGGGAAGTTGTCCATGTGGGTCCCAGGGTTGGGCCTTTTGGATAGAGAATGCTTTTTTTTTTTTTTTTTTTTTTTTAACGAAGTTTTGCTCTTGTTGCCTGGGCTGGAGTGTAATAGTGCCATCTGGGCTCACCGCAACCTCTGCCTCCCAGGTTCAAGCAGTTTTCCTGCCTCAGCCTCCTGAGTAGCTGGGATTTACAGGTGCCCACCACCATACCCGGCTAAGTTTTTTGTATTTTTAGTAGAGACTGGGTTTCACCATGTTGGCCAGGCTGGTCTCAACTCCTGACCTCAGGTGATCTGCCAGCCTTGGCCTCCCAAAGTGATGAGATTACAGGCGTCAGCCACCGTACCCAGCCTGGACAGGGAATGCTTAGCTATCTGGAGCATGGTCCTGAGAGGATTAGGGTATGGGCAGAGGAGAGTTAGACTCTTCACCCATGTGGTGGGATATAGCCAAAGGAGGGCCAGAGTAGAGCCTTCTAAAGCACAGGGACCAATGCAGGGGCCACTCCTGCCTGTGCCTAAGGGCAATAATTTTTTTTTTTTTGAGATGGTGTTTCATTCTGTTGCCAAAGCTAGAGTGCAGTGGTGCCAAAATGGCCCATTGCAGCCTCGATCTCCCCAGGCTCAGGTGATCCTCCCACCTCAATTTTTGTGTTTTTAGTAGAGACAGGGTTTTGCTATGTTGCCCAGGCTGGTGTCAAACCTCTGGGCTGAAGCGATCCACCTGTCTTGGCCTTCCAAAGTGCTAGGATTACAGGTGTGAGCCACTGCACCCAGCCAAAGGGCAATAATTTGATGTTTCCCTGTTTCATCAGTCTGTAAGTTTCATGAAGTCAGTACTGCTATCAGTATAAGTTACTGAGGTGTCGCCAATGCCTTACACAGGGCCTGGTGCAGAACAGATGTTTAATATGCATTTGTCAAATGAATGTAGGAGGTACACCAGAGATTGAGGATTTGGATCAATTACTACAGATCTAGATACAATGATACAGAACTGGGAAAGAGAACCAGGCTTTCAGGGTTCCAAAAATAAGAGTACAGGACAGGGGAGAGGAGGGTAGCATCCTGGAATGCTGACTGTCTCATCTTTTCTCCTTTTTCTTCATTTTCAACCCCACTCCTGCAGGCCCTTTGCCTGCCTGGCCCTCTTTCTCCATGGTCCGATATCACTCCAGCCATATCTTTCTATCTTTCTGTCCTTTGGCCATTGCTCTTCCTCTGCGGCCTACGTATGTGTCTGTTTCTTTGAATTGGTGTCTAGGTCTTCGTGCCCAATCTTATGTCCTGTCCCTTCCTGCTACCATTCCTACTGTTGTAGTCCTTGTTCCTCTCCACTCTTCCTGTTGTCTTCTACTCCCTTCGTGGTCCTCTCCTGGAAGACCTCCTCTCTTTACCCCTCTCTTCCATGTGCCTACATCTCTGTCTCCTTTAATCCAAATCCCTGTGGAGCCCCTGACTTGTCCTGTCCTCTATCCCATGTCTACACCTACTGCTTCCTTGTCTTCTTCCTCTGTTCTATTATTCCTGGAGTCACGCTGCTTCATCTTTTTCATCCCCATTTTTCTGTCTCCAGATGTCCTTGAGCCTGTCCGTGTCAGTATTCATTTCCCAGTCTCCAGTGCATATGGGAGATGGAATCTGCTTTCTGGGTCCCCACTGACTGCCATAGACTCTCCTCTCTGTGCCCTTGGTCCTTTCCTCTGGCCCAGACTGGGCCCAGCCTGAGCCCAACCCTCACTGCCCCAGCTCCTTTCCCTAGTTTAGTGGTGCCTGGTCTGAGCCCCGAGCGGCTCAACTCGCCTGAGCTTGTTTAGTCTGACTCCCTTAGCCTGTTAGCAGCTTAGCCCTCCCACCTCTCCTTTGAGCCCTCCAGTAAACAAGAGGATCAGTGCAGACCTGACAGCTGCTGGCTGGGGGCAAGTGTCTGGCCAGGCCAGAGCAGGCATGAAAAAGGGGCTGCACTCAACATTTCCCATTCTTCCTTCAACCAGGGAAATTGTAGAGTCTCTTTCCTGGGTGTCCACTTTAGAGAGCTATATTCCACGGGCATGTGTGTGAGGTCCTCTCTCTCCATGATCCTCATTCCCATTTTGTGGTTGGTTCCTAGGCCTTAGGCTTTTTGATTCTTTTAAGAAAACAGCAGTAGATCCCGGCAGTCACACAGAGAAGCTTGAATGGTGATGATGGTTTCTGTTCCTTCAAACAGAGACCCAGGTGTGGGAAGAGCGTGATGTCATTTGATCTAGGTTTTCTAACATGTGTGGAAAGCATGGTAGGAGAGACCATATACATACACACAGACAGACACATACACATACACACGCCCCCTGCCCCCTCAAGGGAAGCTGGGTAGACTCTAGGCATTCTGTGCAGTTCTCAAACTTTTTTTTTTGAGATGGAGTCTCTCTCTGTTGCTCAAGCTGGAGTGCACTGGCACTACGTCGGTTCACTGCAACCTCTGCCTCTCAGGTCCAAGTGATTCTCCTGCCTCAGCCTCCTGAGTAGCTGGCATTACAGACACCTGCCACCATACCTGGCTAATTTTTGTATTTTTAATACAGACGAGGTTTCACCATATTGGCCAGGTTGTTCTTGAACTCTCAAAGTGCTGGGATTACGGGCCTGTGCCACTGTGCCTGGCCTTCAAACTTTCAAGCACATCACACTTGCTGAAAGGGCCTTAAAACACAGATTTCTGGGCTCCACCCCCAGAGTTCCTGACTCGGTTGATTTAAGGTGAGACCAGATAACATGTATTTCTAACAAGTTCCCAGGTGATACGTATGCTGCTGCTCCCAGGACCACACTTCAAAAATGACCATCTTAGATAATCAGTATCTGCCAGCTCTTCTCCAACGTCTAAGGCTGGGACCAGGTTAAGTTGTATAAGTGATGACCTTTGGGGGCTGATGGACACCCAGGTCTCTGTGTTGAGAAAGAGGATCTGTTAACTCCATGGGAGTATTCGGGTGGCCTCAGAAGGTAGGGAGTGGCCTTTAACTCCATAGACCCTATTTAAACAGCTTCGGACAGGTTTAAACATCTCCTTAGATAATTCCTAGTATCCCTGTTCCAACTCCTACTCGGGGATGATAGCTGTAAGAGGTGTTAGGGGATTAGGCTGAAAATGTAGGTCACCCCCCAGCCATCTGGGAATTAGAAGAGCGAGAGGAGGAGAGAGGGGCAGAGACACACAGGGAAGAGGTGAGAGGAAGCAGAGGGCATGCGAGGGCAGTTACAAAAGTGTCTCCTATGGATGGTTGTGATTAGATTTCAATGTCCCTTGAGGCCCAGAAGGAAGGAACAGAGTTCCCTGCTCTTTTTTCACCTGCTCCTTCTCCCAAGCTGGGCTGCCTGTTTTGGGGCTGGGATCAGCAAGAGTGGGAGATGCAAAATATGGTATGGTCAAGTCCTGGAGATTCCCTGTGGGAAAAGTTGCTTTCCTTTCTGATGCAATGGCTATGAGGGGCATAAGACCAGTGAGCGTGACGGTGGGGCAGAGGCAGAAATGTGAGGATTCTTCAAATTAGGAATCAGACCCAATAGGCCAGGTGAGAGTGGGCCTGGGAGAGCTTATAGTCTCCAAAGACACTGATGAGGGGGCTGCAGGGCCTTGGAAGGTGAGGGTGCTGGGAGCTTGTCTGGCTCTCTTTTCCAGTCCCAGGCTACCCATGACTAGGGCTGAGGGTTGTGTTCACGTGGAGGGATGGTGGTTGAGGCCCATGTGGCTGTCTGAACTGGGAAACTGAGCACTCAGGAGTTGGATCATCAGTGAGGAGCTTTGTTGGGGAAGGTGCCCCCTTTCCTTTTTTGAGAACAAACATACTTGGACTCTCCTCTCTCTCCATTTCCCCCAACCCCAGGCCAATAAGATATGCAAATGATCTCCTTACCCCATTGGTTAGAGGCCTCAGGACCACAGATGACCTCAGAGAGCTGGCCCTTTAAGAATGCCCTTTGGGCTCTGTGCCCACAGCCCCCTGGAGCTGAGCAGAGAGGCACCAGACCCTGCTCCATGGAGCCTTCAGTCTCTCAGGAAGCTGTGCCCGCCTGGCTCTGGAACTGACCGCATCCTCTCTGGCATCCCTAAAGTGAGTATTTCCAGGACCTACCTGGGTGCCAGGCCGCTTGCCTAGAGCCCCTCTTTCAACACCTGCTCTTTGTTTTGTATTTCCAAAAATCCTCACACTTTGGTACCCTACTCTATTCCCACCCTGGCTGGCCTGTGTCGCTCACTGCTATCACATCAGAAAGAGAAACAACCTTCCCCACGACCCCTTCTGTACATTCAGTTCTTTCTGGAACCTCTCAGGGTCTCACCGTCACCTCTGCCAGGGCCCAGTTCCTTGTGCTTCCCTCCCCTCGGTCCTCTCAAGGGTGACAGGTTTAATGCAGAGGGCAGCAGCTCTGCCCTGGAACAGGAAGAGAGAGGCTTGGGTCTTCCTCTTGCCTCTCTGGGTAAAGCCTGGGGTTCTGAGACGTGATTGGAAAGAGGGCTACCTAGGCTACCTAGGTAAGAAGGAGTGGAAGTCTGGCGGGGAGTGGTGGCTCATGCCTGTAATCCCAGCACTTTGGGAGGCCTACGTGGACGGATCACGAGGTCATGAGTTCGAGACCATCCTGGCCAACATGATGAAACCCCGTCTCTACTAAAACTATAAAAATTAGTTGGGCATGGTGGCATGTGCCTGTAGTCCCATCTACTCAGGAGTCTGAAGCAAGAGAATTGCTTGAACCTGGGAGGCGGAGTTTGCAGTGAGGCGAGATCACGCCACTGCACTCCAGCTTGGTAACAGAGCGAGATTCTGTCTCAAAAAAAAAAAAAAAAAAAAAAAAAAGAGTGGAAGTCTAAGCCCTGGGGATGAGCACTCCCTGCCACGCCCCTTCTGGGGGTGGTGTGGGAGTTACTGGAATTGGGAGCTTGACTAGAGCTTGGACATCCAGACTGGGGAGGATATCTGAGGTCCCCTAGTCAGAAGTTCCTCAGGTGAACATGTGCCCCATGGTTGATAACAGAGAGTTCCTTGATGATATAAGTTTAGGACACTTTGTGTTGAACTTGAACGGATGGTTTACTAAAGGATCAATCAGGTTAATATGCTCTTGTGATATGTGAATGTGTAAGAGGTGGGGATAGGAGGCAACATTTCTCAAAATTATCTGAGCACAGACCTCTTCATGAGTATTGCTCAGAATCCGTGTTCCAGAGAACACTCTTTGGTACATGTTACAAAGTCTAACTTCCCTCATTGAACAGAGGGAAAAAAGGAAAATGGGTTGGAAGGGTGAAGGTGATCTGCTCGAGTTCACACAACATAGCAAGTTCTGAATAGAAGAAGGAAAATCAATCTTGGCTGGTTCCCCTTGGAGAGACTGGCCTTGAGGAAAGATGGTGGCCAGTTGATCCTGATCTTTCTAGAACTAATTCTAGGACCTTTTTTTTCTATACAAAGTCCCTTGCTCCTACAAAAGGGATTCACTGATTGATTAATCCATGGAACAAATGTACACTGAGGGTCTTCTAGAGGCAAGGTACTGCCCTGAGGGCTTTGAGAGACAGAGAGGTATAACAGCACATTATCTTTGTGTCTTAAAATTCACAGCATACCTGCCTTCCCATTGTCCTAAAATATACACTTACTCTGTCACAGTTAATTAAGCAATTTTAAAAAATGGCTTGGAAATGGAATGATGCCTCTTGAGATGACAGACCTCTCGGCATGTCTCAGCACCAGGGTTGGGAGCACTGCCATACTGCTCTTGTTTTTCATAGATCCTGAAGCATCATTGAGGTAAGAGGCTGTGCTGTCCTCTTCCTCCTTCAGGCCTTCAGCTGCTTGTCTCCTGTCAGGAGCCTCTGCCCCTGAAAGGTTGCTCTGCAGCCTGGGGGGGGACTGTGAAGTGGGCAGAGCTGCACCATCCCTCTGGCTTTCCTGAACTCTTGCTCCAGGGCACTTAGGCTTTGAGGGAAGAGGGACTTGGTGAAGAGGGAATGGCAGGTGATCTCCATGTGCTCCAGACCGCTCCTCTTTGCAGGTGCACTCCTCCCAGCCCAGCTCCAGAATGGCCCTGCCCCCCAGCCCCCTGGCCATGGAATATGTCAATGACTTTGACTTGATGAAGTTCGAGGTAAAGCGAGAGCCCTCTGAGGGGCGACCAGGCCCGGCTACAGCCTCACTAGGCTCCACACCTTACAGCTCAGTGCCTCCTTCACCCACCTTCAGTGAACCAGGCATGGTGGGGGCGACCGAGGGCTCCCGGCCAGGCCTGGAGGAGCTGTACTGGCTGGCTACCCTGCAGCAGCAGCTGGGGGCTGGGGAGGCACTGGGGCTGAGTCCTGAAGAGGCCGTGGAGCTGCTGCAGGGTCAGGGCCCAGTCCCTGTTGATGGGCCCCATGGCTACTACCCAGGGAGTCCAGAGGAGACAGGAGCCCAGCACGTCCAGGTGAGTGGTCAGCAAGCTGGCCTGAGGGGAGGGAGGCCGAGGGAGGGGGACTGCCCAAGAGGGGAGGGGGAGCTCCCGGAGAGGGTTATGGACTGGGGCAACGGACAGAGGGCCAGAGAAGGGAAGAAGGTCCCTTGAAAGAAAACAGTTGGAGAAAACTACATTCTGCTTCTCCTCCTTTTCTCAAAATGGAGAGAAATGAGTAGGCTGAACCAGGAGGAGCAGGGAGAAGGTAAGAGTAGCAGAGGATCCAAAGGGAAGAATTGAGCTGGGGAGTGGGCGACTCCGGGAGGTAAACAGACACACGGTGTGTGGAAACCAGGGAAAGGGTTACCTGTGGAACGGAGCCGGGTTAAGACTGGTTTAGATTGGCCTTTTCAAGACTTCGGGCTTCCCAGCCCCCAACCTTCTCAGGAAGGATTGGGACTCATCCTATTAATTACAGACACAGGTGGGGGTGTTGAGGGCATTAGGATGTAATCCAAATCCTGTGAGGGTCACGGGGTTGCGGGTTTCAGGACAGGGAAACGCAGAGCGTTGGAGGGTTGGGGGGTGTCTGGGTGCGGGTCCACTGGACACACCCGGGCCTGGAGCGGGATGCCGGGGACCTCAGAGAGGGGCCCGGGGTTCAGGTGCGCGATGGGCTCGCCTGACCGTGGCCGTGCGCCGTGGGGCGCCCGCCCGGGTCAAGCAACGCTCCGCTGGAGGGACCCGGGAGCCTCGGGGCCTGGGGCGGGGTCTGCACCGAAACGGACTGCGTGGAAGCGCGAGCATTCGGGTGAAGGTGGGAGCCGGGGCCGGGCGGGGCGGGGCGGGGCTGTCCCGGGGCGGGGCCACGTAGCGTCGCGCCCCCGGTCCTCGCCGGTGCGACCCGGCGCCGACCCGGTCCCTGCACTCTTCCTCCTCAGCTGGCCGAGCGGTTTTCCGACGCGGCGCTGGTCTCGATGTCTGTGCGGGAGCTAAACCGGCAGCTGCGGGGCTGCGGGCGCGACGAGGCGCTGCGGCTGAAGCAGAGGCGCCGCACGCTGAAGAACCGCGGCTACGCGCAGGCCTGTCGTTCCAAGCGGCTGCAGCAGCGGCGCGGGCTGGAGGCCGAGCGCGCCCGCCTGGCCGCCCAGCTGGACGCGCTGCGGGCCGAAGTGGCCCGCCTGGCCCGGGAGCGCGATCTCTACAAGGCTCGCTGTGACCGGCTCACCTCGAGCGGCCCGGAGTCCGGGGACCCCTCCCACCTCTTCCTCTGAGCCGTTCAGGGCACCCTGTGGTGTAGTGGGGGCTGGATGGGATGGCACCGCCGAGGAGGCGGCTGCACGGTTCTCTGCATGGTTATCAGAGCGCCTTCTGGTCCAAGCCATGCCCTATATGACCACACAAATATCCCCAAAGCTTTTGGGTTCTCGAGTCATGCCCGAGTTTAGATGCTGGACAATTTTTGGAGAGGGGTCCCCTCGCCTTACGCAGGTCGTACACAGAAACCCGGCCCACATGACTAGCACGCTGAGCTCTGCAGGGACCAGTGCCAGGCAGTGGGGGGTGGAAGTGTGGTGACACAGTGAATGGGAGGTGGGGGAGGGATGCAGCTCCCACCTCAGTTTAGTTTCTAATTCAAGGTTTTCAACCTGTAACACATTAAAGCTGTAATTAGCGATGAGGCTGTATTTTCATTCTGAAGCTTGTAACCTCCCCATTTTAGCACTAAGGCATTTCAAGATTTCAATGCCCAGCAACTAGACAGACTGGGAACTCTATCTAAGATGCTTTTCCCTTGCCCAACTCTGTGGCCTCCAGGGCCCAGAGTGGCAAAGGCCTGAAGAGTGAGCTCTGGGGGTTGTTGGTGTGGGCTGGGAGAGAGCCCTGTGCAGAAGTCTGGAAACCTGGGTGCTAGTTCCAGCTCTTCCATGGGATCCCCCTGTCACCTTGAGCAAATCGATTACTTTCTGAGCCTGTGTTACTTCATCTAATTCTCATTTGGATTGGATAATTTCTGATACTTTTCCATTTCTGGCATCTCCCCAGTACGGAAGTCCCAGTGGTCTCCCCAAGAAGTCCTCGAGACAGCCTCACAATGGCACCTCCTATCCTGCTCCAGTTTCCCACTGCAGTCTAGGCAGGGGATGTGCAGCCCAGGTTAGGGAGCCCAGCTTCTCTGTGAGCACATACATGGGTTCTCTGCAGCTCCCTCCAGACTGCCTGGTTCTCCAGAACTGCACAGGGTGCTCCTGCCACCTCCCGCCTCCCTCTCTAAGTGCTGAGGCAAGACTTCTCCCGGGATGACAACGAGCTGAGAGACTGCAGGTTTTGTGAATTAAACTTGAAGTCCAGGCAGAATTCTAATGCAATCGGCTAAATGTTCTTGCAATTTAAGAAGTGTTCATTCTTTATCCTTGCTTCAGGCTACTGTTTTGTGTGTCTGTGTGTGGGAGAGGGAGAGGGAGAGTGAGAGAAAGGGAGGTCCCCACCTGGAGCTGAGTGGCACATCTGTTATGGGGAGCCAATGGAAATGGGGTGGAGGGGCAGGCATTGGGACAGATGGATCCACCACCACCACCAAATTCAGAAGCCGCAGTGGCCCAGCTTGCCCTTGTCTGTGGCTATCCAGGTCTCACAGTTTCCATGGTAACCCAACCCTCCAGTTCAGCAGCCTAAGGAGGGGCAGGTGTGGCCTCTGGGCAGAGCACAGGCATTGTGCTGGGAGCAGCCACCTCACTGGTTACTGTCATCTGTCATCTACTGGACATAATAAATGGGAGAAGTGTTCGGGCATGGGGGAAGAGGCTTCCATATGTCCCTCTTCCTTTCTACCCCCTCTCTCCACCCCCTCCCCAGCTGTCTCTTCTCTTCCCATCACAGTTCTTGCTCCCTCTTCCCCCTCCTCTATCCCAGCTCATCCCTCCTCCACTTAGGAGCCTGCAATGGGAGTCCTCTCCTCCATTGCTCTCAGAATTTCTCTTGTCTTGTCTCCTCTCATTTCCCCACCATTGGCCACTGGCTCTCTGGCTCTGGATTCTCTCTCTGATGGGCTCACAGACCTTTAGCTTCTCTTTCTTCATCTCCTTCCATACTCCTTGTTGAAGGGAGAGAATGGGGCAGAGAGGGTCCTTTCAGGAACCCAGCTCTTTTTCTCTCACTCTAAATTTCACCTGTGTCTATCCTTGCCTGCCCTGGAGCTGTAATTCAGAGCCACTGCTTTCTTGTTCACTTTTCTCACCTGCATGGCACACAGAGGCAGACAGACCCATCTATAGACATCTGAGCATGCAACTGGGCCACGTATACAGTACACATACAGGTGTCAGAATGATACTCCTGGGTCACCTAAATATACTTAAAAAAAAAAGTTGCAGCCAGATGCAGTGGCTCACACCTGTAATCCCAGCACTTTGGGAGGTCCAGGTGGGCAGATCACCTGAGGTCAGGAGTTCAAGACCAGCCTGACCAACATGGAGAAACCACATCTCTACTAAAAATACAAAATTAGCTGGGCATGGTGGCACATGTCTGTAATCCCAGCTACCTGGGAGGCTGAGGCAGGAGAATTGCTGGAACCCAGGAGGCGGAGGTTGCAGTGAGCCGAGATTGTGCCACTGCATTCCAGCCTGGTGATAGAGCAAGACTCCGTCTCAAAAAAAAAAAAAAAAAAAAAAAAAAGAATGGTGCTTTAGGTGGGGCGCAGTGATTCAGGCCTGTAATCACAACACTTTGGGAGGCCAACGAGGAAGTTTGAGATCAGCCTGGGCAAAATAACGAGAACCCTGTCTCTACCAGTAAAATAAAATAAAATAAAATAAAATAAAATAATTCAGATGTAATGGCATGCACCTGGAGTCTCAGCTACTCAGGAGGCTAAGGTGGAAGGATCACTTGAGCCCAGGAGTTCGGGGCTGCAGTGAACCATAATCATGCCACTGCACTCCAGCCTAGGCGGCAGAGTAACATCCTGTTTCAAGTTGTAGTTCTACCAGTTTTTTGACCCTGGGTGGGTTAAACTCAAGCCTCAACTGATCGTCAGAAAAATGGTGAAAATAGTGGTAACTACCTACTGAGAATAAATGCATTTAAACAAGCACTTAACATAAAGTTGACACATGCTAAACAATAATATTTGCTGTTGTTGCTAATGTGATCGCTAGGTGTGTGAATGTGTGTGGGTGTGTTCATGCATGGCACATCCCTGAGTCCATGAGTGTGACCCATTAAGGCCATGAACAGACACACACATTGACACACCCAGGAAACCAGACTGTATAGGCCTTAGATGCCCCACTATGTTCCCAACTCACTAGCAGGCCTGCTGCCCTCCTTCAGTACCCCCAGCACCCATTCGTGACCCGTCCCACAGCTGTGTGGGGGCTAGGGTTCAGCTCCTGGGGGATTCAGCAGGGCCTCTCTAGAGACAGCTATAAGAAAGCATCAGGCTGCCCCTGTGACAGCCCCTAATTATCCCCCTAGCTTCTGTAATTAACCCCCTTGGTGTCCAGACCCCCTGGGGTTGGGAGGTGAGGGTGGGGGCTCCTCAGACCCCACTGGCACATAGTTGGGGTAAGACTGCAGAGACAGCAGCCTGCCTGGGAAGCACTGGTTCAGATTTTGAAAGGTGCTGGTCCTCATTTCTTATGGTGTGTGTCGGGGGGTGCTGCAGGCTGCCCAGTGGGCATCTGAGGCATGATGGTTAGAGGTTGAGGTGCTAGGAGCGGTTCTCTTTATTAACAGCCAGAAAGTCAGGATCACCCAGGAAGTCACTGAGGGGCCACAGCATTGAAGGGTAGGGGGTTTGGAGAGATGGGAGCAGGGCCCACCACTCACGTCCAGGACCCAAGGGGCACAGCTGGTCCAAGAGGTGGAGGCATTGGTCACTGGAGTCAGGAGGGTCAGGACAGGCACCTGGGAGGGGGTGGGAGAGTCATAAGCACTCTCTTCTACACTACGCCCAGCCTAGATGGGCTCTACTGAGCCCCACTTTGCACCCTCTATGTCCACTCCTTTGGGCCCCCCAGGACTCACTGAGACGCCGAGGGAGTGTCGGTCCGGAGGGTGGCAGTCACGGGCTAGGGCTGGGAGTTGTGGCCAGTGTGCAGGGCCTCGGAGCCCCAGGGCTGATGCCCTGGCTGGCGTAGTACTCCACTACCTGCCTCGGCACCTCTGCCAGGACACACTTGGCGAGTGCAGAGGGGGCAGCCTGGGGGTGGGAACAGCGATGTGGTTAGGGGTGGGAGAAAGAGTAGGGGAGGCAGGGTCAGCTAAGGGAGGGGTGGGGCTTCAGGGTGGCCAGCTGGGCTCCCTCCTCCTTAGCAGGACATCAAATGGTGGAAGATGAAGGTCAGATCTGGGGACATGAGAAACCAGGGAGTCCTTCAGCCAGAAGGGGCCCAGGGGACTTACATCCTTGAAATCTCGGAAGGGCACAAACTGGACAATGTCTCGGGCTGCAGGCACCCCTCGGGGGCAGCGCAAGGGTCCGTCATCGCCATCCAGCAGTCGCATGTCAGAGAAGTCAGCATTGCCCACGCCCACGATGATGATGGACATGGGCAGGCGGGAGGCACGCACGATGGCAGCGCGGGTCTCAGCCATGTCACTCACCACACCGTCAGTGAGCACGAGCAGCACCGAGTACTTCTGAGGGCCAGCAGAGAGGGTGGAAGGGTTGGCTTTGTGTGCAAGGGTGTTGACACCATGTCCACCAAGGTGCAGGCCCTGGCCTGGCACCACTTGAAGACACATGGGGCAGCTCCTCTTACCGTGGCTTGGCCGGTGCTCTGCTCCCGCTGGGCTGGCTCAGCCACACGGTTGATGATGGGGGCCACGTTGGTGGGGCCATAGAGCTGGATCTGGGGCAGGCAACGACGGTAGGAGGCGATGACCCCTGAGATCTCTGTGGGTGAAGAGAAGTGGTGAAGCTGGTAAAAATGAGCAAGGGATCCTCCTGACAATCCTCAAAGCAAGGATGTGCATCCAGGTCTGAGGACTGCCCTCCCCCTTGAGTTTCTTCACTGAGCAGTGAGAGAGTTGGATAGTCCCTTGGTGGGGACAGCTTGGGGGGCAGATGCTGGGCCTTGGCCCTGGAAGCCTCACCTGATGCAGACAGGTCTGGGATGGGTGGAAGGGACAGGGAGCTGGGCCCCTGGAAATGGAGTCTGTGCCCCTGTGTGGGGTGTGTCTGGGGGGAGACGGGGCAGGTGAAAATCTCCCCTCTTACCTTCACATTCAGGATTTTCCGGGTCAAAGTTGATAGCAAAGTCATGGGACACCTGCGAAGGCAAGGCGGGAGCTGTGAGGGCCTGCCTTTCCTTCCTGTCTGACAAGCTCCACCCTCATCTCCTTCCTTCTCTCTCATCAGCCTACCTCAAAGTTGGGGGGGATTCGAGCCCCAAAGCCAAAAGCTGGGAACCGCTTATCACTGGGGAGAAGAAAAGGCTGTGGGGTCCATCGGGCAAGGCCTCCCTGCCTGTTCCCTCCCGCCCCACTTTCTCCTACCTGTCATAGTCCTGGCAGATGCCTCCTACTGCACGCAGGGCCTGCAGGTAGTGGTTGGGCTGTCGAGGGCTGAGGCAGTGCAGGGACTGGCTGCTCCTCGGGTCCCCATTGGAGGCGGTGAAGTCGATGGCCACCTGGGTGGGGTGCGGGTGGGAAAAAGGCCATGCTGCAG